GTCTTGCTTTTGCTCAGGCTGGTCTCACACTCCTGAGGTCAGGCCATCCTCTCACCTTGGCCTCCCAGAGTATAGGATTATAGATGTGAGCCATTGCACCCGGCCTTCAAACCTGTTTTTTTTTTGAGTCTTACTTTGTTGCCCCTGCTAGAGTGCTATGGCATCATAGCTTACAGCAACCTCAGACTCTTGGGCTCAAATGATTCTCTTGCCTCAAGTAGCTGGCACTATAGGCACCTGCCACAACATCCAGCTATGTTTAAAGGTGGGGTTTTGCTCTGGCTCAGGCTGATCACCAACCTGTGAACTCAGGCAATCTGCCGGCCTTGGCCTCCCAGAGTACTAGTATTACAGGCATAAGCCACCTCGCCTGGCCTTTCAAACTTTTTAAATAATACTTTCAGTGTTCTACAGGAAGTTCACTGCCATTGGTCTCATGGACCTGAATGTTTTCTTGGTGATCCCCACATCTTTTTTTTTTTTTTTATGAGACAGAGTTTCACTATGTCACCCTCGGTAGAGTGCTAGGGCGTCACAGCTCACAGCAACCTCCAATTCTTCGGCTTAAGCGATTGTCTTGCCTCAAGTAGCTGGAACTACAGGCACTCGCCACAACCCCCAGCTATTTTTGGTTGTAGTTGTCATTGTTTGGCAGGCCTGGGCTGGGTTCAAAATGTCCATCTCCAGCATATGTGGCTGGCACCTTGGCCTCTGAGCTACAGGTGCTGAGCTGGTGATCGCACATCTTTGACCATCATACTAAAACTGACCAATATGAACTCCCCTGGCCTTAAATGAGGAAGCTTGTAATTTATTCTTATCACTTCAGGAAATGTAAGGGCATCCCATTTGTGTAATCTCTATCTTAGGGAAGGATTAATCCCAAGTATAGAAAATGATTCATGTTTTCACATGAGGTAGAAGGCAAAAGAGGCTCACTTACCCTTGATTTAATGACAGGCCTAGGATTATTTTTACCAAAAACCCTAACCATGAAAAAAAGCAGTTCCTCAAGTCTTTTTTCTTTTATTAAGAGAAGGAGTCGGCTCAGTGCCTGTGGCTCAAGTGGCTAAGGTGCCAGCCACATACACCTAAGGTGGCAGGTTCGAATCCAGCCTGAACCTGCCAAACAACAATGATGGCTGCAACCAAAAAATAGCCTGGCATTGTGGCGGGCACCTGTAGCCCCAGCTACTTGGGAGGCGGAGGCAGGAGACTTGCTTGAGCCCAGGAGTTGGAGGTTGCTGTGAGCTGTGATGCCACAGCACTCTACCCAGGGGGACAGCTTGAGGCTCTGTCTCAAAAAAAAAAAAAAAAAAGAAAGAAAAAGAGACAGAGTCTCACTTTGTCACCCTCAGTAGAGTACTGTAGCATCATAGCGCACAGCAACCTCCACCTTTTGGGCTTAGATGATTCTCTTGCCTCAGCCTCTGGAGTAGCTACAACTATAGGCGCCCACCTATTTTTTTGTTGCAGTTTGGGCAGGGCCGGGCTTGAACCCACCACCCTTGGTATATGGGGCCGGCACCCTACTCACTGAGCTACAGGTGCAGCCCCAAGTCTTTTTTTTTTTTTTTGAGACATTGTCTTACTTTGTTACTCTTGTTAGAGTACTGTGGCATCAGCTCACAGGAACTTCAAACTCCTACCAGGGGTCCTCAAACTTTTTAAACAGGGGGCCAGTTCACTGTCCCTCAGACTGTTGGAGGGCCAGACTGTAGGCTCTGGCTGCTAAGCAGGACAGGCAGTGGTGGCAAAAACACCTGATAGGCTGGATAAATGTCATCATCGGGCTGCATGTGGCCTCCAGGCCTTAGCTTGAGGACGCCTATTTTACTGGGCTCAAACTATTCTTTATTTTTGCAGTTTTTGGCCAGGGCTGGGTTTGAACCTACCACCTCCAGCATATGGGGCTGGTGTCCTACTCCTTTGAGCCACAGGTGCCACCCGGTTCAAGCTATTCTTTTACCTCAGGCTTCCAAGTATCTGGAACTATAGGTGCCCACCACAATGCCACGCTATTTTTAGAGAGGAGGTCTCTGGCTCAGGCTGTTCTCAAACCTGTGAGCTCAGGCAATCTACCCACTTGTCTCCCAAAGTGCTAGGATCACAGGCATGAGCCACGGAGCCCAGCCAAGTCTTGTTCTCTTTCACATTTATGTTTAATGCCAACATCTTTGCCTTAAAAGAGTAAGTTTCAAGGGGCAGTGCCTGTACTCAGTAGGTAGGGTGACAGCCACATACAGAGGCTGGCGGGTTTGAACCTGGCCCCAGGCCAGCTAAACAATGACAACTGCAACAACAACAAAAAACAGCCAGCTGTTGTGGCAGGCACCTATAATCCCAGCTAACTTGGGAGGCTGAGGTAAGAGAATCACTTAAGCCCGAGTTTGAGGTTGCGGTAGGTGCTAAGGCGGTCGTGGTGCAGACATGGCCAAGTCCAAGAACCACACCACACACAACCAGTCCTGAAAGTGGCACAGAAATGGCATCAAGAAACCCCGATCACAAAGATATGAATCTCTTGAGGGGGTAGATCCCAAGTTCCTGAGGAACATGCGCTTTGCCAAGAAGCACAAGAAGGGCCTGAAAATACAAGCCAACAATGCCAAGGGTGTGAGTGCACGGGCTGAAGCTATCAAGGCCCTTCTAAAGCCCAAGGAGGTTAAGACCAAGATTCCAAAGGGTGCCAGCTGTAAACTCAGTTGACTTGCCTATATCGCCCACCCCAAGCTTGGGAAGCGTGCTCACGCATGCACTGCCAAGGGTCTCAGGCTCTGCCGGCCAAAGGCCAAGGCCAAGGATCAAACGAAGGCCCAATCTGCTGCTTCATCTGCAGCTCCAGCTTCAGGTCCAGCTCAGGCTCCCAAAGGTGCCCAGGCCCGCACAAAGGCTCCAGAGTAGAGGCATCTGTCTGCCATGAGGATAAAAGAACTGGTGTGACCTCTAGGCTGCTGTCTATATGGGGCTGGGGTCCTCCTGTGCTATTTGTACAAATAAACCTGAGGCAGGAAAAAAAAA